ATGTGGCAGTCAGACTCACCTTATTGATTGGCACAGGAAGTTCTGAAGAGCAAGGTCCCAGGAGCAATGCAGAATTATTCAGTGGATGGTGGAATGGCTCCAGGCCTTGCGCTGTGACTGGATAAAACTGTACAGTTCACCCTTACACAGACATTCACAGAATATCCTGAATTGGAAAGAGCCCCATAAGAAGTTTTGAGTTCAGCTCCTGGCTCCAGTCAGGAGCACTCAAAACCCAAACCCTGTGTCTGGGAGCACTGTCCAGATGTTCCTTGAACTCCAACAGCTTGGTGCTTTGAGCACTGCCTGCAGAGTATAATCCAGTGCCCAATTACCCTCTTGGTGAAGCTGTAGCTTGCAGTGAGGTCTTCCCTGATGGCCTGTGACCAACGACTGCTTTGTCTTTCATATATTTTTCAGTAACTCAACAGAACGCTCTTCAGAATTTCTCTAGTCAGTAAAGTGAGACTGATGGGCCTGCAATTACCAGGGTTGTATTTCTTATCTTGCCAGCTTCTGGTTGAATGGGGATGGATTTCACATGATTATTGGAAATGAAAACAGTCACATTGTGTACTAGTCTTCTAGGGTGACAGACAGTGATGTTGGTTTCTATATGTGGAAAAAATCTCTTGCAGATACTGCTGAAAGCATGGACTTCTGGCATTGTCTAAACATGTTTTGTGTTTGTATTGATGTTTACCAGTGACTCTCACTATAATGAAAGTTGTTGCATAAAAATGCATGCTATGTTTTCTTCTCCAGAGGTTCCAGCTCTGTTTAGGCAACAGTGCTGATGAGTGAAGCATCTGGCACTATTTCTTGCGTTCTCTCTGTTCAGTATGCTGATACCATATCACAGAATCACAGTACAGTTTGAGTTGGAAGAGACCCTTAAGATCATCCAGTTCCAACTCCCTGCTGTAGTCAGGGGCAGCTCCCTTTAGACCAGGTTGCTGAAAGCCCCATCCGTCTCCCTTCTGTGCAGTTAACTCTAAATGCTTGACTTAAAAGTAACTTTTCCTTTTGTGTTTCGTTTGGTTTTAGATAACCTGTGAGTTACTTTACTGCATTTGACTTCACAGGTTCTCCGAGCAGGCACAGATTGCCTTTCACATCCATTGCAATTGAGAAACAAAGCAAGAGTACTTTGTTCTTTATCCTTCCTTCTTGTGCAGGGGCTCCTAACAGCCCCGTTCACTGGAGGTCCTACCACTGCTTTGGAGTTTGAGGAAGCCACTTCACTTGAAGTCTGCTTGCCTGTGTATCCACAACTCAGGCTTTTTGGCTGCTGTTATTTGAATTGCTCTGTCTTAAATAAAGCTTCCCGGGGTGCCCACATGCAGTTGTCTGAAGGATGTTCTGCTGCTGCTCCACTTGTTCAGCTTTCTTAGCTTCTATTTGACAAGCCTCTCAGCCTTGTTAGCTGTCTGCTCGTTCCTTGTTGTGTGGTTGCTGGCTGGTAGGTGGTGGTGTGCATTCCAGACAAGGCGCCTCATGTTCTGATCAGTCTCTTTGTACCTATTTTGATTCTTGTTGAATCTTTAGAAAAACTTTCTTGGGTGGAAATTTCAGGCTACCTGTGAATTCATTGGGGAAACTCCCGTATTTCTCATTTAAAACTCTCAATTAAGGCTTTTATTGAAGACAGAAGTGGGTGACTCTTGCTCATATTAGATTTCTGTATACATTGTGCAGATGCATGTTGTCTGGTGTAAAATGGCAGTGTTGTTGTGGTCCTCATTTAGTGTGGTATAGTTTAAAGAAGGCTTTGCAGTCTAATTTAGAAGTTGTACTTCAGTATAATTGGGAGAGATTCCTTTGTATTTACTTTTGTACTTCATTTCACTTGGAGGTAAGCCCTGAAAAATGCCATGTTGAAGAGCAGATAACTCTCATGACAATGTGGGGTCTTTTCCCAGAAATATGTGAGAAGGGAGTTTCTGGGCAGCCATAAAACTTTCCCGAAGATTGCTGCTGTTTCTTATTATGTTTCAAATAGGAACATGGAAACTGACAAGCTTTCTCAAAGGTATCCAGGTTTCACACATCTTGCTAAAATAGCATTTGACTCTGTTTAGGGTAAGGGTAAATGATGTAAGAGGAGTTAATCAGTAGGCATTGTTGAAATGAACAGTTTGTGTTGTTTCCTACTGGGGACTCTTAAATGATGAATTATTACTGCGATTTTACTCAACTACTTCTGGAGTCATTGGGAGCTTTAACTTCATTTCTCAAGGAAACCTGAAAGGCTCCCTCTCACTGCCGTTGCTTTGTACTGAATGTATGGTCTGTGATGTGTGCGTTTTAAAAACATTCAGAACGTGCAGTTAAAAGAAAGTCTTGTACTCAGTAAAAGCTTTGTGTGTACTTGAAGTGGTAAAAGTACAAGCAGTGTGCCTGTTCTTAACAGTTCTGTGCTTTTCAAATCTTGCAGACTTGAAATTGTTCTGTAAGTAGAGAAATGGGTGTTGAGTGCACAGTAAAAGGTGGTCAGATTTTTCTGGACTTAGTGTAGAGCTGTGGATAAAACCAAGAGCAAAACAGCCTGCTTTGTAGATGTGATAGTAGCTCAAGCACGCTTTGCTTGATGACCTAAACTCAGTTTCCAAAGAGGAAAAAGGGAATTGAGAATCGGATCCTGTTCATTAGGTTCTGGCAGTCTGACCCTCCTCGATTCTTCTTTGAAGACCCTAATGCAGCATTGCATTTGAATTACCTTTATCCGTGCTGCTAGCCTTGTTGCTAACTACGCTGGGATCAGGGTTCCCTGTTTGTGCTGCTCTGGCTGCTGTCTTCAGCATCACGGGAAAACTTCTGTAGGTGGAAAACTGGCATTCCATATTTCTAAGGAGCACCTTGTCAGGGGATAGGGTAGAGAAGAGGGTTCCAAAATGTGTTTTTAGAGGAAAAAAAGACAAAGCTTTCAAGACCATTATTATATGGGATGGATTTATGTCATGGGTTGATACATGAGCTCCGTCAGCTGCTACAGGCAAAGCCTTCAGAATTCATCTTTTTGAGAACTGTTTTTAGAAGACTGTAGGATTTAAGTCAAGGTAAAACAGGCCTTGCAGTGCAAGTTTGAGATATTGGTCTTCTGCTCTGAGTGTAAGGCAAATGAAAGTGGGAGGGTTTAGCACCTGTTGAGAACTGCATGCTGTGTTCTGTGGGAGCATCTTGCTAAGTGGGTGAAAAGGACTAAAACTGAGGAATTGGTCATGTAGTGGATCTTGTTCAGAAGAAAAACAGATTAGCACTCTTAGAATTGACTTTGTAGCAGGAGTTGGTCTGTCCTCCCTATAAGCAGCAGAATGACAGAATGGTTTGGGTTGAAGAGACCTTTAGATCATCTAGTTCCAACATCTTTGCTATAGGTAGGGACACCTCCCACCAGACCAGGTTGCTCAAAGCCCCATCCAGCCTGGCCTTTTACACCTCCAGGTAGGTGTTATCCACAGCCTCTCTGAGCAACTTGTTCCACTATCTCACTAACTCTCATCCTTTGTAATAGCTTGTCTGAATCTCCCTTCTTCCAATTTGAAGCCATTTTACCTTTGCTCTGTTGCTAAATGCCCTTATGAAAAGTTCCTCCCCAGCTTTCCTCTAGACCCCCTTCAGGTACTGGAAAGCCACTATAAGGACCTCCAGAGCTTTCTCTGGTCCAGGCTGTAAAGCCCCAGCTCCCACAGCCTGTCCTTGTATGGGAGGTACTCCAGCCCTCTGATCATCTTCGTGGCTCTCTTCTGGACCCACTCCAACAGCTTTGTGTTCTCCTTGTCTTGGGGGCTCCAGAACTGGATGCAGTACTCCAGGTGGAGTTCCACAAGAGCAGAGTAGAGGGGCAGAGTCGCCTCCCTCACTCTGCTGGTCACACTTCACTTGAGGCAATCTAGGATGATACAGTTGGCCTTCTGGGCTGGAAGTGCACATTGCTGGCTCATATTCAGTCTTTGGTCAACCAGCAACCCCAAAACCTTCTCCTCAGGGCTGCTCTCAGCCATTCTCTACCCAACCTGTATCTGTGCTTGGGAGTGCCCCAACCCACGTGTAGGACCTTGCACTTGGCCTTTATATGGGAATTGTTGAGTCACGGCCTGAACCATTGGTTGAGCACCTGGGGAAAGGAACCAGTCAGCCCTGGGAGCACAGGTGAAGGCAATTCATAGTATAAACTACCTAGCCTAGAGTTAACAAACATGTTCTTAGGACTTTTCAGGGAAAGGTGGGGTCAAGCCCGCATCCATGTCTCTGTCACTGGAGGTCACCGCAGGCAATTTGCAATACTGCATGTCAGCTGAGGCCTTGAGATAGCCTCACTGTCACTATGGATCTATTAACAGAGACAGTCTGTGGGTGCAAGGCTGATCATTTGCATGATTGATAATTTTACTGAAACTATTTTTAGATAATTACTTGTTGTTGGCTAATGGAAAACTAGGAAACGTTGAAAACTGATTCTGAATAATGAAAACTCAAAATGTGGTCAGTGATAGAAAGTACAATTTCTAGATTCTGCACGGTGGTGTGTGCATGTGTATATGTGCCCAGAATTTGATGCTTTGCTTGGGTTTTAACTGTGTTCCAAGCAAACAGAACTTTTCTGTTTTTAAAGCCTAAATGAAGTTTGGACCAATTAGCTGAATGATACAGAGTAGGATGGTTCAGCATCCACGGTGGGATCTATTATAGTTAACTCTATTTTCATTTGAAGAAAAACAATAGCAGTGAGTTTCAGGCAGTTTGAGCGGATGCTAAGGGAAACCTCTACTGAAGCAGAGGAATGTCTCAAATAGCTTGATCTTGAAAGCTGACCTCATGAGCTCCTTCCTTCGTGCTACCTTCCCAAAGGTGAAATGCTGTGCTGCAAAGCTACATAAGCAGTATTTCCCTGAAGCCTTGTTTACATCCACTGTTAACTGTTCACTTTCACTGAATTGTGTTTTTTAAAGCATAAAGCAATATAACTGAACTCCACTCATTTTATCCATCTCTTTCAGGTTTTCACGACTGTTCTGTTGCTGTAACCACCATGGATGTGAATGCTGTGGTGATAAAGGCTTGCTGTTTTCTCATTCTGGATTCCTCAAATCCAAGAGCTACTCAGCAGTTTCCAAGGCAACCACCTGTGGAATAATTAAAAAGGATGAAGTGTTGGTGTGCCAGATGCACGGAATTCTTGCCTGGAGAGAGCACTTCGTTTTCAGCTGTTTCGAATGTGATTCTGCCAGCACAGTTCAGGTAGCACAGTTAAAGAATACTGGTTTGTTGTCTGGAATTACTGAAAGTTTGTCTAAGAGCAGCAATCCCTCTATGACCAGTCGGAGCTCACTTAGAATGGTCATAGATCCTTCAGTGTTAAATTTTCTGTTCAAATATATTAAGAAAAAAAAAAATTGGAGAATGGTAATGGAAGAGCAATGTGGGTGAACAGTGCATCACATAAGTAAAACATTTGCATGTACTGTTTTATGGATTTTGCTGTCTTTACTCATAGATGATTTTAAGCTGGTAAGGACTGAAACAGAGTGTACATGAAATGGAGTGTACATAAGTGGAAGCATAAATATAGGAAGTGGAGACTTCATGTCAAGTGCACTGAGATTTCTTTGGCGTTCAGTGGAGTGGTGGATATAAAAGGAGTGGGTTCACAGCAAAATGGCAGGGTCAAGGCTGTTTCTTTATCTCATGGCTTACTAAAGAGTGTGCAGCGATTAAGTTGATTTAACTGATGATCAGGTTCAGTTCTGCTCTGGTGAAGCTAAAAACATTTCTAAGACAGGTTTAGGAGATGAAATGTCATAGTGGACCAGAAGGTAAGGAAAAGAGCTCTATTAGAATAACAAAACCCAAAAATGCTGAGTTCAGCTCTGAAAGTTTAAAACATTACTACAGAAGTTTATGGAGAGCTCCTAGGCTCTAGATAGAACTGGAAACATCATTATTGAAGTATAGCATGTTGCTGGACCTATCTGCTTGTTATATCTTCCTTCTCTGCCAGTCATTCAGACGTACTTGAATAGAAAAATATTGTTCATTTCTGACAATGAAGTTAAATGGAGAAAGCCACATTTCACGTTCTTCTCATAGTCCAAATAACTGCTCAGTTAAGTTTGGTTACCTAGTTTAATGCTTTTGTGTAGTTTGTTTTGGGTGTGATGCTTTTGTGTCGTTTATTTTAAGAAAAAAAAATTCTAAATTTTAAAGCAGAAATATTTGGGATACCATCTGGACTTTACATAATAAATTTTTACTGCCAAAATGTTTGTGGGATTCTGTTCGGATGTGGATGGGATTTCACATTCCATGCCTTTTACAGCACAAGAGGATCATTGTTTTTTAGATACGGTGGGTCCAAGAAGAAATAGAAATTGCTTGATGGCAGCTTTTAGATTTGATGGAATATATGTAGAAGGCCATTTAATCTAGTCAGTTGTTACCTTTTAGAGCTGTTACAGAATCTCAGAAGCTAATGTTTGTAGGTACAGTCTGAGTGAGACTGTCATTTCATACCCTAATACTTATTTCTAGTTTTACTGTTGTCACAGCTTAACTATTAGATCGTTTATTTTGAGATACTGCTTCAGGCAGTTCAGTTTTCTCAATATACAGCTGAGGGAGGCTTTTCTTTTTAAGGAAGAACTACTGCTTTTACCCTATGAAAAAATATGCTGGTGAACTATCTGCAGCAAGCATGGAGAATATAATGTAAAGCTGACATACAGTGCAGTAGAGGAAGGTATTGTTTGTGTGCATGCATGTACATGTGGATCCAAATCCTTTGCTTTCCAAGAAACATGGGTAACCCTGAAAGGTAACTTGTGTACTTGTGGAAGAGTGTCCAGGTGTATGTGTGTAAGACTGATACGTGATAGTTATGTAGCAACTGATTGAAGTGAGTCAACAATCCCAGAGGAGAAGAGCTTCATCCTGGGCACGTTTTGAAAGCATCTTTGTCGTATTCAAGTGCCTCAGTTTTTCTTTTTCCCCCCAAATAGTGTGGGTGAGGTGACTCTCGTGAAATGTGAAACTTCCAGGTGGTGTTGAAGCTGATGGTGGAAAGCAGGTAGGGAGCTTCAGGGAGCTGCTCAGCCTACACCTTTGGAAAGGATGACAGCTTCTGGGGGCACATACCTCATAGTGTTGATTTAGTCCAGTAACTAAGCCTGGATGTTTGATACTTCTGGGTGTGTTTATATGTAAATTTCATGTATGCACACTTCTTTTTCTACGTTTCATTCCTAATCCAGAAATATATTTGGTGGATGTGAACTTGATTACTGATACAACCCAGTTATTTCCAACTGAGATGTCTCACCTTGGCAGTTTTTCCAGACTTTGAGCATGGTGGTTCAATACCAAGAGTACTTGAGGGTTTGTTAGTGTAGCATGCACGTTTTCATTTTAATAGAAACAAATTTTAGGCAGTTAGACTGCATTAAAGAAAATGGAGTGGCTGGGCAGAACTGAATTCTTATCTATGAATATAGCTTCTGTTTTACTGATTGTTATCTCTGAGATAAATTATGTTATGGAAAGGGAGTAGAAACTTAAAGCATTGATTTGTTCACTAGTTCTGATTTCTTTAAGCGATTATAGATGGCAACATAGAGTTCATTTCTGCAACCCACGCTATTAAGGATTAGTGCTGTTTGCAGCTAGAACAAGTGCAACTTTTTTTGTACTCTTTCTGTAAGGAGAGAAATGTTGGTTTCCATGTTGGGGTAATTTGAGCTCCTTTTGAAAGAAGAAATGGGAATTAGTGATAGAGTAAAGCTCTTATTAATTATCTGTCTGGTTATTATAGCTCTCCTTCAGTTTTGGTGCTGTTGGTACAGCTGTATTGAAGGAGTCTGCTAGAGTGAGGTTGTCTAGAAGGGTGACTAAAATACAGGGTGATTTTTGTCATGTAAGTAGTACTGCTTCCTAGAAAGATAACATTTTCGTGTTGTTGCTGGGAGATGAAGGTATTTTTTGGGTTGGGGGTTTTCAAAGGGAATTTTCCCTTCTGGCAAGAGAAGTCAGCAGTAAAAACATAGAGGTGATAGGGAGAAAGGAGGGTTAGGCAGCAAACACCTTCCATTTCTTGGGATGGGAACTCCAATAATGAATTGACCTTCTTGCCTAGGCTTTATCTGGGGCAGCTAATCTCTGCATCTCTACTGGATATTTTAAGATATGTCAGCCTGGTCAAGTACATCAAGCATTTCATTAAGATGTTGTAGAAATGATGTTCAGCAGTGATTTTGGGAGCGTCAGTCGTCAGGGTTCTACGTAAAGTCCTGGATCTCAAGATTTTTAGGGCCATATCTTTCCTCTCTGGCTCCTCAGAGATGAGAGGAGAAAACTATGAAGGAAGTTTTCCAGATGCGTCAATATAAGGCAGTGTAAGACTTCAGAATTATGTATTTAGTGGGGGGATGGAACACAGCTTTAAATTGTGAACATCTGTGTATTTGCAGTGGGATGGGAAGATATGAAAACCTGCCAGCTGTTCGGGATGTTTTACCTGTGCAAGGTAAAATGATTTTTGGAGAGGTAGTAAGTATGAGACTAAAGAGCAGCTGTTCTCGTGCACCCATCCAGAGCTCCATTTTTTTCCAGCAGTGGTATAAATAACTGAGTAAATACAGAATGCAGGACAGAGCAAAGCCCCGTGATTCTCCTTGTGCGCACTCTTTGGTCTTCAGACATTTGTGGTGCAAGGATTGACTGAGCTGGGTAACTTGCTTAGCTTACAGGATTTGACTACTGAATTTGTTTAATCTTCAAGCCATAAGAAGTTTTAGCACGTGTAATACTTTGTGGTTCAACAGATTAATGAGCATGACAACAGTAAACGAAGGATCATATCTGTTCAAACCTGAATTCCATTTCTTGTACTGAAATGGAGGTAAATGACTGATCCCTGCTTACTCTCTCCACGATGATCATAATTTTATAGACTCAGCCTTCTCTAGGACTCAGTTCAAAGTCTGTTGACTTATCTTTTTTTTTTAATCCACATAGCCTACTTCAAACTTGTTTTCACAGATATTTTGAATTTCACAACTGAATCTCATTGATGTGCTTTAATGTCCAGTCAGGTACATCTTCGTGGTTTGTTCGTTTTTAGTTTTTCCTACTCAGCTACTGTTTCAGCTACCCTGAGTAACTGAGCATCATCAGCAGTCTGTGTTAGCAGCATATACAAAATTGTGCTGAAGGAGGGAAGTTCAGCGATTGAATGAATATTCGCATTACTGAATGTGCGGTGGTTTTAGGTGATTTAAGTGTAGGAAGTTACCTTAGCAGCAGAACTATTAGTTGTTCTTGTTTTCTTTTTTGAGCAATTGCTTATTTCAGTAACAGGAAAACAAGAGTGCCCATAATGACTCAAAATAGGACACATAGCCTGAAATCATTTTCCTGAGCATCAGTGGGCAGCTGTACCTTCAGGAAGTGTGCAGAAAGAGGGAATGCAGCCCTGCTTCCAAGGGCAGAGTCCAGCAGCCTGCTGGAGTCCTGAACTATGACAACATCATCATAGCTTCCATGCGTTTCTCTAATGTGAATCCCCCTTGTCTTCCTTCAGGTCTTAGAGTTGTGAAGACTGGTTTTGTGTACAGCTCATTTCAGTTTGTGCAGTGCCCTTGCCTCTCGCTCAGGCAGTTATCTCCACGTACCCCATATGCTTTGCCTTCAGCCATTTCTTTGTCAGGCTGAGGAATCTTGCCTTAGTATCACCTTTCCTCTTGTGGAAGCTGTTGCTGACTCTCATCCTTGGCATACTGCTGTCACCCTGTATCTAAGATGGGAGAAGCAAAGCAGTGTGCAGGGCTCAGGGTACAAACATGGAGCAAATGAGTCAGCATCAAACTGCTGCTGCTTTACTTTGTCTCGGTTCTCTGCCTAGTTATTCCTGAAATCCTGTTGCGTTCTGCTATCATCAACCTTTGTGAAAGCCATGTTTTCATAAAGCTATCATATTCATAAAGACTTCAAGGCTTTTCTTAATGAGAATAAACTAATTTAGAACCCATCACTGTCTGTGTGTAGTTAGTTGTTTTCTTTTTTTTTCCCAGATATTGGACCTTGCATTTATCTACTTGAATTTCATTTTCTGCTTTCTGTCCTAGTCATGCTACAACGAGCTGGAAAAAAAGGACTGAGAATAACGCCTTGACTTGCCCAGTGTTTTCTCTTCAGTAGACTTGAGTTCTCACATTTAATAATTTTCAGTGTAATTTATGGTTGCATAT